CATTTCTTACTGTTATTAATATACTTATAAAATCATAAGTTCATATATAATATAAAATATTTTATTTAATGTTTAGTTTCATTATTAAATAAAAATTAGACTTAGTCAAAAATATATGAAAACGAAAAAAGTAAATAGAGTTTCAGTAATTCTACTGTATTTTCAAGATACCAGTATCTATAAACCGATCATATATTATTTCATTTTTTTATGCAAACTCTAGATATAATAAACTTCTATAAATAATTAATTTACTTTCTTAATTATTATTGTTTTAATATTTTTTCATACAAAGAGGAATTTTGCAAATGTTCATTCGATTGACTTTATGAAAATGTGAATGACAGCTTCAATATTTTTATACGTAAATCACTATTATTAATTTACTGATTATTGTATTTTTAAATTTAATTATCGCATTTTTATGTTCAGTCATTGGATATTAAAAAATAATAATTTACCTTCAATTTATTAATAAAACAATATCATCCAATATAAAAGACAGCTGTATGCAATCATTATTATTTTTGTGTTGTAATATTACTAAATTCTTTAATCCATATTGATGAATATTGTTCATAAATAAACATTTCACCAATATTAAAAAATAATTTTCAAGTGATCTTTTCAATATACTCTATTAAGACCAAAATATATTACTTTATATCAAAATAAACAGAAATATTAATTCTTAAATTCTTGATGACAAAAAATATATAAAATCTAGATTGTTATTGTATGGTTGTAAATCTCTTATTATATGAACTATTATTATTATTACAAAATTTGTGGATGTGGATGTGAAAGTACTTATGTAGTATCTCATTTATGTCAGGATATTATTTTTATTGATAATGCACCAAGAAGATATTAATTAGTATTATTTAAAGGTTTAACATAACAATTTTCAATAATAACTATATCTATGAAAAAATTAAATATTTCTTTAGTCATCCTCATTGTAAAATATAATCCGATTGTATTATATGATTACAATCTACGTTATTACTTTAAATCCTTAAGCTTTCTCATTATGTAGACACATTCTGCACAAATGAATCATTTAGACAGTTAAATATTGTATTATTGCTCTGATTTTTTAATGTAATTATTTTTAAATTTAAATAACAGCTTCTAATTTTTTAAAAAGTCAACCTATATTCTTACATAGCGACAATGTTTAAAATTTCTTTCCATGAATTAGGGTTAATGCTACATATTTTTTTAGCAATTAAGATTACTCTAAAATATTTGTAGATTTTTTTTGTTTAATTTATATTACTCAAAGCAATATTATTTAACGGATTAAATTGTCAATTTCAATAATAATTATTATTGCATTATGTAGCCTTTTCTAAATTAAAACAATTCAAAATTTTAAAAGATTTTTAAATTATGATCAATTCTAAGTTTTCTGAATTAATGAAATTTCTTAGATCGGAAACAATATTTACTCTAAAAAATGTATGAATCTTATGAAAAAATAAGTTGATTAACCATGTATAAATTATAACTCTCAAATAAATAACAATTATTATTGACGTTAGTTTAGTATTAAATCGTCCATTACTTTTTAATTTTTTTTCTATTTTTTTAAGCTTAGCATTTTAGTATCGCATATTATTTTTATTCGATCATTTTCTTCCACATTTAGTTATTCGTTGTCTTGCCTTGAACTACATATCATTCTGCCTCAGACTATACATACTCGATGGATCTTTAAATTTGAAATTTGAATTAAAAGCTGATTAATTTTATGAAAATTCATTTTGATTCTTTTTTCTATTTTGCATTTGCAGCAGTAAACATAAATCGTACAAGAAAATCGCATTTTTCCATACAACCACGAATACAACTCTATCTCTATAGCACGGGTTATAGATTCGTAATTATTTAAATTTCTTTTTACATCATTCCATATTAGCCGACATTGTTAATTACGTCATTTATAAAAGCATATATTATTATTGTTGCCTTAATATACTATAAGTTATATAGTGTAGTTGAAGTATATGTATACTTTTATGAATTAATATAAGTGTTGAAGAATTTTATGGCTAGAATATCATTTAGAAATATTCAGAATTAGGGAATGATCTATAAATTATATAATTTTATACTATTAATATAACCCATTGTAATTACAATCTTTCTTTATATTTAAATAATTTTATTTCTCTTCTCTCAAAAGATCTTTATAAACAATCCGTAGCTGTTATTACATACTACGGTTTTTTATCTTCAATTTTATCATCAATGAATTCAAATTACAATAAAAATATATCTAGGATTACATACAATGAATAAAATGCTATAAATAGATTTGAAAAAAGTTATTCGTGTTTTTATCGCAATAGTCTCACTTATATATTAAATATAAAAAAAATAAATGTACACACACACGCACATGCACATATGTAATTTTTTCTAATGATTGAATCGACATTTAAAATACTCTATAAATGTATAAAATACTAAATTTTTTTAACTTTTCAGAAGATTTATTTTAATAAGTATTATCTAATTTACCGAAAATATGATTGAATCATTATTTACAATTGATATACAAAATATCAATATACTTCAAAGTCTTTATTTAACTAAGAAAAATGTACTTGCTTTCAGCATAGATTTTTTTTAACAATACATAAAACAAATTTAAATTAAAATGTAATAAAGTTTTATTATATGTATAATTATAATGAAATTATGTTTCAAAAACGTATAACTTTTATAATAGGTAAAGTATAGAGATTATCTAAATTTATGTTATAAGACTAAAAATATTATATTCGTTATATTCATATTTAAAAGATTTGTATTAATATTTAGTGGTAATAATAATGAATGTTAATAATAATAATTTAATGGTAATAATAATAATAATAATGTATGTTCTAAAAAATTTCTAAATTCTATATTTCAAATACGTAATATTTAAAAAATACCTATCATTCAATACTGTATTTAAAATATTAGTATTCGTATTAAAATTTTATGACCATGAAAGTGTTAGGACTTTATCTAAATACTATTATAATATAAAATTTATAAATTTTATTAATATATAATTAGCTAAATAAGTATATATCAATAATTAAGATATTGATAAGTAATAATAAATAAATTAATCATAAAACTAGTTAACATATAGTTTTTTTTTAATTTTAGAGAAACATCTATCTAACTTTTCATTAAAATAGATATAATTTTTAGAATAACATAAATAAATTTTAAAACTAAGTTTTTAATCAATACTATATACCTAGTAGTTTATCATAAATTATAATTACGATATATATTCACAAAATAGTCGAATTTTATAAAAAAAAAAATTATATAACTTTATAAATTTTTATAGTATTAATTTTCTTAATTACTTTCTTCTGTTTTTTACAAAAAATTTTAAAATATATTATTCATATATTATTTTTTAATCAACTAGTATCTAATATATGTTATTATAACAGCCCTAGAGAATTTATTAAAAGAGAATTTAAAGCAATAAATTATTTTTAAACTTTAAGATTCTTTTTATATGTACATGTTGGAGTTATTTAAAAGCATAATTTATTTAAAATAATTGTTTAATGCATAAATTTAGATTATTTATTTAGTGTCGAAACTTGGTTATAATTTATGGCATATAATATTAAAATATTGATAAAAATTGATTTACATTATAAATACTATATAATGAATATAATGAAACTAAATATAATGAAAAATCTGATTAAATGTGTATGATTGTAAATTTAATCTCTTTTCAAAATATTTTATAAATGTATTATTAAATTGAAAAATTTGTAATATGTTATTTTCAAATAGTTGTTAATGGTACGTTTATGTACATATTAAATATAACAAAATTAAACTAGTTTTTATGTATAATATATATATTACATTGTATTTATGGTAGTTGACTTTCTATTAAATATAAAATTGTAAGAATAAAATTTAATACTTTATCATTGAAAAGTGGGATAAAAATATCAATGTTTAATTTGTCTTTTATTTTGATAAAACATTCAAAAAATCACAGCAATAATTATTGATAATATATTCTTTCGATATGATTTAATTTTCTTATTTATTATTTTCATAATGCATATAAATTATCATGTTAAGGAAGAAAAGCAAAACGATGTTTATAAAAGAATGGAAAATTCATTTTTGAGATTTTTCAATTTTAGAAGTTTTATAAAAATGTAAAAAAGTTTTGTTAAAAAATTATATATTTTTAATGTATGAGATATTTTTAAATGTACTTCAATGCTTTATTCAGAGCGCGCAAAATTTTTAAACAGCTTTTTTTTTAATATTACTTTTAAACTTTTTTAAATTTATGAGCTATATAGATTCGCCATTTTTCAATGGTCTTAATTGAAACTTGCAAGATATTATAATAAAACATTATTTACTTTATCTTAGGAATTTATAAAAGAAGTTGTAAATTTATAAAAGAATAATATAAAAATAATAATAATTATAATAGTTTTTTTAACTGCTTGTTTAAAAGTTCGACAATCAAATAAAAAGAATTTAAATGTAAAGGTTTTCTAAAAAATGTATACAAGTCAATTTAAACATTATGAAAACCAAAAATTATTTAAAAAGTAGTTACAATAATAATAAATACTTTAAAATATTTGTCTCCAATTCATAAATCATTAAGATACATACTAAAATCATTATGTAAGTTTAAAGTATTTTGAATTTTTATCTAAAATTATTTATGTTTAGAAAATGATACGTGTAAAAAGGCATTTACAATTTTTTGAAATTAACAATAAATTTCTTCCCTAATAAGACAAATGATGTATTTGTTTATTTTTCTATTACAATTTGAATATTTTTCATAATCTCCAAACTTAACAACCAAGATGTAGTTAATATATGCTCGGTACTACAAACATTATACTACAACTTTGCCGTCGTAGGTTCACTCGTTTTTTTTATCACCGACACGTTTCAAGGATCCGTTGCGCTCGAAGCCACGACATACCCGTACTCGTACGTGTACACGTGACAAGTCTACAGTGGCGTTACAGTATTGCCCCAGTCTTTTTTGTGTCGACGTTATATCGCGTGCTACATTGAGTATTATTTGATTCGTTATCTTTTCATTTGAAAAATAGGGGAAAAAACGTGATCAAGAAAAATACGGCGGAAAGAAAAAGACAGTCCCAGGACATAAACAAAGAAGATATAAACAAATAGAAGGAAAGGATTATGGCACGATCATCAACTTATGCATTGAATGGCCCGAGTTTTCCAGTAATTGCCTATTTGTCTTTTTAATGGAACAAATTTTATTCGGCTACATTACAAAGTCAAAGATCCAGCAATAAAACATCAAGTAAAAAGCAAAACGGGGCCGTATAATAGAGAGAGAGAGAGAGAGAGAGAGAGAGAGAGTGAGTGAGTGAGTGAGAGAGAGAGAGAGAGAGAGAGTGAGTGAGAGTGAGTAAGGCGAAAGGGGAGAAATAAAAGACAGACGGGCAGTTAAATAGACGGTATAATGTCAAGCAGGCAGGCAGGCTAGCTGACATACAAATAAATAAATAGAAAGAAGGAGAGAATAAGAGAAAGAAAAGGAGAAAAAGAGAATATGTATGATAGAGAGAGAAAGAGAGAGAACGAGAGAGAACGAGAGATAGAGAGAGAGAGAGATAGAGAGAGAGAGAGAACAAGAGAATTAAAGACCTAATGCGCGAGGTGGACGACTACGATGATGGGGGAGGGGGGTAATCGCGAAGGTGGGGAGAATCGTAAAATAAATCGGTTAGGACTGTTCAGTCATAGAAGAAAAATTGCGTGGAATTAAAGACTTAAAAAATTAAGTGAAAAAGTGATAGAAATTTTGTTAAAGAATAGCTTGATTTAATACTTATTTTTGTGTGTCGATAGATAAAAATAATTTAATTTGCTTTCAACTTATTAATTTATATTTCTTTTATGAGGATGAAAGAATTATTTTTATTTTTTTGTAAATATTAATGGTGTTAATTTTGTTTAAATTGTAATTTTGTGGTGTTTAAAGTTTTGAAGTACTGGTGCTGATTTCGTTTGTGAGGATTTCATGATTTTTTACTAAATGTATAAAAAAATCACTTTACTAAAATATAAAGAACTTTTGAAACAATTAAATTTAAAATGATGCATATTTTGAAACTGCTATTAATTAATGACAATATTACATTAAATCGGTTTTAATAAGACACAAATTTTTAAAAATTAACGTTGTTACATTTAAAACTTATCTTATAGTTTTCTTTAATTCATAGATTGTGATAAAAGAATTACTTAACAAATAAATTAAAAAAATCTAACATCAAAACTTTTCTAATTGTTCTAGTACTGTTCTAATTATAGATATTTATTAATATAAATCATGTATACACGCAGAATATCACCGATATGGAGTATATAGATGTGCATATGTGTGTGCTCGCGCGCGTGCATACGTGCGTGTGTGTATGTATTTATATATTTATTGGTTTATAATATAATTAAAATTTTTGGAGAGTATTTTTTAACTGTCAGTTTAGAAGTCTTAAAAATTTCAAGAAATAAAAATAATGTATTAAAAGAAAATAATTTTTTCAGTACTATTATTAAAATACTATTATGGCAATACCTATATTTATAAATAATTAAATCATTCGTCTTGAAAAATTTAATTTATTATTTTGTAAAATGCGTAAAATTTGTGCTTAATTTGTGCAAATTTTTATAATTTTAATAATTTATTATATTTACAAATATGTATATATAAATTGAATAAATTATGAGTAAAAGTTTGAGTTGAAAAGAAAATATTAAATTTCTTTACAATTATAACTAATTAATCAAAAAATTTTCATTATAAAGAAATAAAGATCATTTATTGATAATAAAGTGAACTTTAAAATGTCAAAAAGTGAAATAAAAGACTCGTTTTTTGAACTTCGCACGCGCATGTCTCGAATGCTGTCAGTCGTCGATATCACCAAACCAACTTCAACCAATTCGGTATCGGACATACTACAATGTTGACAAAATTAAATTTAATCACCTTTAAATTTGTATTCGATAAATTGTATTTTTTTTAATTATGTTAAATTTCTAAAAAGTAAGTAAAGTAAATTTGTAAAAAATATGCTAAATTTTAATGTTTATATAATTAATATCATGAGATTTCTTCACACCTACAATATCATTGTAATATTTTATTATAAGAAGTATATGAAATTGAAGTATAAATTGTTTAAATAATTATTTAAATAAATAAAATCAAGAAAAATAAATCTTATTTAAATAGTATATAATATGGATTTGAATAGATATAAAAAAGAAAAATATTTTTAAAAATTTCATTTTATTAATTTATACTTTATTATAAATGATAAACTATAATACCATTTCCTTATATTTTGATTTTTTTAATTAATCTATAATTGATAGTTATAATATCTATGTATACAAAAAATATTTTGTTTATTAAAAACTTTATATATCCATATTTATATCATTTTTTAAAATAAGCTGTTGAATATTACCAATCAATAAGATGAAGAATATATTCTATTATTATATATAATTTATTTAAATACTCTTTATTAGCATTCAAAGTTTACAAATAATAAACGTGGGTACTAGATTATAACTGAACAAATGTTAATTAAAAAATCTTGAGCAATTTTTTTTAATGTTTTAAAATATATAATAATAACTACAGTAACATACGATTAATTTGCAGTTATGAAATAAACTAAAGTAATTTATGTAAATTAGTTTTCTTAATAATATAAAAAAATATTGTAATTTGTATATTTTGATTATTTTATGAAATCGCTAATTAATAAAAGTTGCCTAATTATATTAATTTATGAATTTTAATTTAGACTAAACATGAATCACTAATTTATTTTGAGAATATTTGAATAATAAACGATAAATTATTTACAAAAAAACACTAAATACATTTCGATTTAATTTCATTCAAAAAAATATTTTATGAATATGAAAACAAATTTTAGTATTTGAGTTATAGTCTAAAGTCAGTTTCAAAAAAACAAATTTATTATTGAAAGTTAAAATTAATTTTCGATTATATACATTTACAAATATTAAACGATTGTATTTATATGAAATAATATAATTTCAATATTACCGAACCATATAATTAAAAAATTTGTTTACAGTAACATTATTTAAAAAAATTAAAGATTACCTTTAATCATTATGTGATTGAACCTTGCTTATTTACGAATATTTTTGTTATAATAATAGTGTCTTGTGCATCAACGGCAGAATTATTTCCTTCTACATTATCAGCAGCTGATAATAATAATAATACCATGTAACATTATAATTTTTTAACACTTAATTGTTATACTGAATTTCATTAAAATTTATGCTAATTGTAATTTTATTTTTAATACAAAACAAAATAATGAAAATTAAAATAAATGAAATAATAAATAATAAAATTAATTAATCTATTTAATTTCATGCTTTTTTGTTTTTTATATAAAATATTTTCATATAACTGATGAATTATCTAAAAATTTTACCCGTTAATAATTTTATTTATAATTCTATTTATTTAAATACATATAGAAATGATTATTATTATTCATTTTTAATTTATTATTTTAAAGAATTAAAATGTTTAAAATATATAATAAATCAGAAAACACGAATTGAATTTTAAATATATATTTCTTTATAAGCCTAGTCGTGTGAATTGTAACTGATGAAGTTCAATTCGTAAAAATAATTGCTTTGTTGGTTACGTCAGACAACTTTTATGAACCGTAAATTTAATTTGAACTACAATAGAATGACGCGCGATAAAATATTCAATCTAAAGAAAAAATAATAAATACCTGAAATGAAGTTTAAATCAAGTATGAAAATTTTTAAAACTTATATTTACACATATATTTCGTACATATATTTAACATATAATATTATTAAAATAAAATTGTACTGTACTTTGTAATATTAAATTTTCACTTTTAATAAAATTTATATTAGAATATTATTTCTTCTTTTAACTTTTTAAATTATTTCTAAATATGGAAATATCACTTAATAAATGATAAAAGTATTCCTTTTAATTATTAAAAAATATTAGTTTAAAAATAACTTCATTTTTGTACATTATGTTTAAATAATTTATAGAAATTTGATTTTTGTCGAATAATGAATAAGAAGTCTTCAATGAAACATTAACGATATATAACAAATAATTTCATAAAATAATAATTTGGTCTACATTTGTTTAGCTTATATACATTCATAAATGTATACAATGTTATTATTAAATAATATCATCAATTAATTATAATTATGAAGTTACTACTAAAATATTTATTTAGGTAAGAATAAGTGAAGTAAATTTTCAAATTGTAAAATTTCCAATTCAATAATTCGAGCATATATTCTGATATAAAGTAATAATTTATTAAATATTCTTAAAGAAAATTTGAAAATAAATATTTGTAATACAGTTTAAAATAGATATAAAAAAAAGAAATTAAGTTATCATCTTTAAGAATATATTGCACTTTATTAATTTAACCTTATTTCGATGCCTTTATAGTGCTAAATATTTATTACATTTTCTAATATTTTGGTTTAAATAATCAGATGAAAAATGTTTTCTGTATTAAAGTTTTTGTTATACTGTTTTAGTATTATTATATTTATATATTCAAATTCTAATTTTCTGAATGATATCTCTCTGAAATCTGTGTGAATTAATAAAAAACTATGGTTTATGTATGTTTAAACAATACATTTTTTTTTTAATTTTTCATATTTTAATAAAACTAATAATTAAATTCAGGGTTATGTAAAAAATATGACAAATTTTCTATCAAAACCACTTTGATTTATTATTGTTTATTATACCAAATTTTTTTTTATTTATAATTAATTGAAGATATATTGTACTCATAATTTACAACTTTTTATAATTATAAAATAATATTTTATTATTACTCAATTTAAATGAATTTTTTTAAATTATATTGTATAATATGTAATATATCTAATAGCAGGGTATCTATCATATTTTTAGATTTTCTGTTTTTCATATAATGAAATTAATTTAAATAATAAATGTATGTACTCAATGATTTAGTAATAATTATCCCCTTTTCATAGAGATTTACTAAGACTTTATTATGTATATTCAATAAATACATATTTAAATTATATACAATATTCGAATATAAAATATTTCAATAATTCCTAAAATTCAATATTTTAAAATAACATTATAAAATAAGTAATTAATAATTCCCCATTATTCATTAGAAAATTACATTGTATTTATTCAATGGATTTCGTTTGTAATAAGAGACATGAAAAAAGTACAATCATATAATAAATATGTGAAATTAAAAAATTTCGTTTAATGAAATATTGTTCATTTTATAAGCTTGTAAAGTCTGAAAATAAATAGACTTTTAATTTTGAAAAAAATATTTTAATTGAAATATAATTATACGTTCTATTTTAAGATATTGATATAACTGGACACATTATATAATAACCACTGTGTTTTAAATAATTTCTATACAGTTTTGTACATGTCATAGTTATTAATAAATATTTCAGTTTCAGAACAATATTACTTGTTTTACTTATGTATTCAATTAATAAAAAATAGTAAATAACACGTATTTGTTTATAATTATGCTTATTAAGATTGTTAATGAACTTATGAATTATATTTTCCTTCTAGATGGCGGGACAAGATCCAAAATGGCAAAAGGATGCATCAGATCAAAATTTTGATTATATGTTCAAGTTATTGATAATTGGTAATTCTTCAGTTGGTAAGACGTCTTTCCTCTTTCGTTACGCCGATGATTCTTTTACGTCGGCCTTTGTTTCAACGGTTGGAATTGATTTTAAAGTAAAGACAGTATTTAGAAATGACAAAAGAGTTAAGCTTCAAATTTGGGTTAGTAAAAGACAAAATAATTTTCTCTCTCTCTCTCTCGCTCTCTCTCTCACTCTTACTCTCACTCTCATTCTCACGCTCACTCTCACTCTCACTCCCACTAGATGTATATACGAGATACATATACACTAGATAATATTCTTATAAAATATCAAATAGATTCTTAAAATTTGGTTAATAATTTAGTGTGTAAAATATTTGATTACAATTTAATGCATTTTAAATTATCAAAATTAGTTTAGTAAAGAAGTAATAGTTAACTATCTAATCCTTCAAATTATAAAATTTATAGATTAAAATAAATTTACTGTAATATAGATGGACGCTTTCAAGTTTTTTCTTATACAATTTGTTAAAAGTTAATAATGCATAACGTTATGAGATCAATTTATTATTAATTAACATTTTATATTTCATAATACTTCAATATGAAATAGTTCTGTATACTAAAAATGTTAGTTTTTTTTTTTAAATGAGGTCTTAAAAATTATTTTAAAAATATAATACTATTCCACATTGTTGTCATTCAGTATTAGAAAAATTTTTTTCAAGTACTTGGAATTTTTATAATTTTCTATGTTTAGATTTTTATGAAATTATAGAAAATTATTTTCGAATTCTTTCTTAAAAAAGAAAAAATATGAATATAAATATAAATTTATAATACAATGAAAATATCGTTGGTATATTTTGTATGTCATATTACAGGATACTGCCGGTCAAGAAAGATACAGAACAATTACTACAGCTTATTATAGAGGAGCGATGGGCTTTATATTAATGTATGATATAACTAATGAAGAATCTTTTAATTCAGTGCAAGATTGGTTAACCCAAATTAAAACCTATTCATGGGATAATGCTCAGATCATTCTTGTTGGTAATAAGTGCGATATGGAAGATGAAAGAGTTATTAGTTTTGAAAGGGGTAAACAGTTGGCTGAACATTTAAAGGTTCAATTTTTCGAAACATCTGCGAAAGAAAATACTAATGTTAAGGTAATCTTTTTTCATTAGAATTTACTTTTTACTATTTATTACAAAATTTCTTAATTATTGAACAAAACCCCAGAAAATATTTATGTAAAAAATAAAATTATGTTTTTTATGAAACAATCCAATATTCATATATTTAATTAGCTTAACTATACTTAATAATTAAATTATAGTTAACTAAAATTAACTATTTAAATAACTATATAAATATAAATTTATGAAATTTTTAGATTCTTTTTTTTTCTTAATTTCATATAATCAAGAAGGTATTATAAGTGTTATCTCTTTATTTTAAGAAGTAATAATAGGATCTATTACAACAATATATTATCTTTGGATAATATTATAAGACTTTAATTTGGTTTTATTTACATTGTACTTATTTTATATTTGTAGCCTGCTTATCAATGGCAAAAAAAAAGGATTTATTTCATTTATATAAATTAGACTATTATGAATTTGTTATTTATTTATTTTAAAATATATTTATATCCATATTTTGATATAAAAAAATTAGTATATTTTTAGACATTTTTGCAGAATTAAAACTCACGAATATTTCAGAATTCTAATTATTTATATCTATATTATGTTTATTTACATTTATATTTTAATTATCTAATTAAAAACATCAGTCAAATTTTAAAATATCGAAAATTCAATTAATTAGTTTAAAATGATAATATAGAAGTATCAATCTTCCATAATTTAACTTTTTATCATATCATTGTTTATACAGAAACATTAGATATGATTTTAAACCTTTATTTAATTAAATGAAAATAAATTTAATTAATGAAAATAAATTTTAATTGTTTAAAACATTATTTTCGTATCTAGAATATAGTAGATGAAATTTTTATTTTAACCTTATAATTATTAAAACCAATTTAATTTTTAAATATTTTCATAAATATATTAACATTATTACATAAATATAAATATTTACAATTGCCTTTTTATTGACAGGCCGTATTCGAGACTTTAGTGGATATCATTTGTGATAAAATGAGTGAATCGCTTGACAATGATCCAACACTGATGGCGGGTGGAACAGGACAACAGAAAGGTCAACGACTCACCGAACAATTAACTAATCCTACAGAAACCAATTGCAACTGCTAAAGCCTCACCATATGTTGAATCTTGACAAGATGAAGCCATTTACTTCTCAATCAAGATGGCTACATAGTTAGTCTCTTCTTTGTCGTTCCATTGCTAGTTTCCTTTTCGAACGAATCGTTTTAACCATTTTATCAAAAAAATAGAGTGAGAAAAGGACGACAAACCTTTTTCTCGATAACTGCTTGAACGTAAATGTGGTCGATGAATGAAATTATTAATAATGAACTAAACTTTTTATGTAATTTTGCAAAATTATTCAATATTAGCTAAAAGTTATTTATTTATTTCTTTTTCTTTTTTTATATATATTATTTGTTTTTGTAAAAAGAATGAGAAAAATATTCGATTGTTAGGCATTGAACTAGATTAGAGATGTATTTGCGTGAAATTTATTACTACTGAAATGAATCAATGTGGATCAGCAGACTTATGTTAATTGTTTTTACGAAAAACTCTTTTTTTTAAAAGAACTACAGGATAGTCCATAGTTCTGCTAAATAGTATTCGTGGTCTTAATAATAAAATTATTTATATTTCTAAAATTATGCATAACATTTCTCGTTTTAAAATAAATATATTAATATTCAATTTAAGTTTTTTTCATCGCGTAAAACTATAGAAACATTATTATTATTATTATTGTTGCTGTTATTATTATTATTACTATTAATTAAAAACTGTACATGAATTGTTGATTTCATAGTTTACATCTAATCTGAATTCCAATATTTTTAGTAACTGTGAACACATAAATATTTTGTATTCTACAAAGTTTACAAAAGAAAAGGAACAAATATTGCTATATGATTTCGATTTCTATTTGATTACAAATATAAATCCTTACTCAATACGTTTGATCAATTGCCACGTATGCAGATCAGAAAGTAAGAGATATATCTGGTTTATTAATTTTCATTATTGCATAAACTGTACGTTTTTAAAAAATTCTTGAAAAATTTTGAGACCAATAAAAAATAAAAAGATAATTGAGAAAATAGTTGTGCAATAGTGAAAATCGGAGCTGTAATGACATTTTTGCTGCATAATCTACTTTGCGAAATGTTTCGGCATTTACGAGTGGCGTCAAAAATTATATATATACATAATTATGTGCTGGCTGAAGTAATAAAAGTAACGTCGGATATAAAACTAAGTGCAATAATAAATATTTTATGAATGCTTTCATTTGCATTACCATATACATAAACATCCACGTGCTTTCATTGTTAGGATTTACATAAATAATAAATTAACCTATTATGTATCATTTTAAACTGTTTCAGTTTCGAATTAGTTGCGATTTTTTAACATAATTCTCCATTCATTCTAATATTTTCGTTCATTAATTATTCATTAAGGTATAAGATTTTGTATTCAATATTACAAATTAAATTAAAAAGTCTATGTTAATTAATTTAGTAAAACGAAGATTAAAATAAGCGAGTAATGAAAATTCGAAAATATAAATGCATTAATAAATTGCACTGTATTTCATAGTTTAAATGTACCGATAGTTAGAAAATTTTTCAGAGTAGTTAAAGTTTAAAAAAAATAGCACATATTCAATTTCTTAAAATATTTTATTTTGAGTTAAAAACTTTCATCAATGTACGATGATATATATCTTTCTCCTCTTCCAAAAGAGATCTGTTTAACACAATTTTAAGCAAAACTTGTTACAGATTACACAAATAATATGAATATACAATAAATTTTTGTATAATTATAAATTATATTTTATCAAAAATTAATATAATAGATAACCAAAAAAAAAAAAAAAAAAAATATGTACAATACATAAAGATAATGGCTTTTACATAAAAGAGCATTTAAAAGAATAAAATCATCATTGTTAATATGAGAACTAAAAGGTTTATAGTCACTTAAAATTGTTATTTAAATTAAGAAAAAAATAATAATGGCATTTTTTATCGAAAAAAATTAATGAAATTGTTTAGTTAATTTCAATGTTCTTCGTAACAGAAACTTGAAGTAAAATTTAAATAAATGAATGACTCATTAATTGGTTTGACCTTTAATGACTTAAGAAAATTAAATGAATTTATTCAAATCTTTAATGCAAATATTATTACATTGAATGAGAATATTAATTGAAATATAATGTTATTTCAATTAACTTAATTTATATCCATTTGATATTTGATTATCTCTTATATTATATTATTATCAATAATATAACATGAATGTATTGAAATTTTTATAAATTTTACACACTTTTATTTTGAAAATAAATTATACACTATAGATATTAAAATGTATTAAAGAGATTTGAAAAGTTCAATTCATTACGGTAATTTATTTAAATTATTTAATTATTAAATAACTTATGCACTTAAACGACTTAATTATTAGTTAACAATGAATAAATAAAATTAATCAATAATTTTATGTATAATCCACTTTACAGTTTATAAAAATACCCCGAATAAATTTGTGCTGTCTTATTTATTTTAACATAAAAAGAAACATAAAATATAAAATTAACGTCAATTAAGACGAATGATAAGCATCAAAGTGTATGAAATTACGTTGTTACACCGTGTCCGCATTAATACTTCAGCTGCCACGGCGTTGTAACTATTATGACTACATAGTCGAGCTATCAACTGTACATATACAAAAATAAATATTATTCGCTCTGTAATGAAGTGTAATGTATACATTACTTATTCGTGTGAATTATACAAAACAAAAAAAAAACATATAACATATTAATAAATACACAATTAATTGAATGGGGCCTATCTGCATATGATTAAATATCGAACAACTTATTATAAAATTTAAACAACCTATCATTTATTTATTTATATTCCACAACTATACTGTTTTCGAATTTAAACTAATGAAACCGAAAAAATTGTAAGTTCTAATATTTAAATAAAAACGTAAGTTTTTTTCCAATTTTTGTATTAAAAAATTAGTAATAAAGAAACTTGTTTTTATTTATAGTAGGGAAAATTATTTTTAATATAATAATATAACTTATTTAAAAGCTATTAATCGTTCTATTTATAAAATTTGTAGTATAAAATTATTTCGTTAATATGTAACATAATTGAATTTTCTTTATACCTATGCTTAATTCCAAAATGAATTAAACAATGAATTATAATTTATCTAATTTTTTGTTTCTGAATATTAATTTTATCTACCTTATATAAAAGTATGAATAATAAATCTTGTTATATAATTTTGGTGTACAATAATTCATGAAAATAAAAACTAAAATATATTGCTATATTGATGATATCTTATATTATTTATCATACATTACTTAAATACTGTATATTAGTTAAACATTATACATTATATCATATGTCACAATATTCTACGTAATAATTTGACAAATATGAAATCATTTTTTATTACATTTTTCATTAAAATGTAAAGATAAATTTAAACAATGAAAAATGATAGAAAAACTATTTCAGCTGAATGAAGGAAGTAAGTGATTCTCCTAATTGTCCAATGTTTACATAAAAAATAGTATTATAAGTTATAGCAAGGTTCAGATTTTAAACACTATATATATATATATATATATATATATATATATATATATAACTATACAAATAAATCTTTCTAATAAATGAAAAGACAACGGTTTTGCCGGGTGAACCAGACTGTCTCGTTAGTAAAAATGTTTTAGGCTATTTATATTAGAAGCTTCAAGGCAACATGAAAAACTCATTAGTAAATTTTAGTTTATAATTTTCCTCTTATTGTGGGAGATATAAAATTTTCTTCAGAAAATATATCTAACCATTAAAACATGCATTATTTCATTTCGATGATACATTGATCCACGTATGTATTCAATCCCACCCCCTTACATGATAATATACCTTGCATAAACAACTTATTAGAGTATATATAAATGATTTATTAAATTATTTTTAATTTATTAGTTTATTTAATTATCTGATTATAATATTCAGAGATTCAATTTTTAATAAAATAATGTATTTCAAATTAAATCAACGTTATAAAAATAACATGAAACATAATTCATACAGCACAAATCTACAAAACTTTCTGTTTAATCATATTTAAAATATTATTTTCATATTATAGTAACATATTCATAAAGAAAAAATCTATGAAAATATTATTTAAAATCTATATAAAATTAAAACTAAAAAATTTCATTCATTAAAAGTTTAATTTTTTCCATTTTCATTTTAAAAAATTTTCATTTGTTAAAGAGAAAGCTTATAAACAATAATTACGGTAGTATAAACTTGATAAGTTTTGGATCCATCACTCGATATTTAAAAGGAAGAATTATTGCAATATTTAAATTTTTAGAAAAATTTTTTAAGATTCAGAAAATTTTGCGATTGATTTTAAGACTCTAATAAATTATTTCTATTAATAATGTTATCGATGTATTAGTTAATAACAAAAAAAAAATTAAAATACAATAATTAAAATAAAAGATTTATAAATATTAACTGGATATAACATATAAATAAATAATGATTATATTAAAACGTAAACATTATTTTATATTGCGCAAGTAAATCGAAATAAAATTATATTCTACGTTGATAAAATATCCTTAAATGAACAAATAAATTTCATATACAATTGTCAGCCCGTATAGTAATTATTATGATATTTACAATATTTTAAAAACAATTTTCTAATATTATCAATAAAAATTCATAGAAATATCTTTTTTATTTATAAAGTAATAAATTATTATATACTATTATTTTGGCATTTTAAAAATTTAAGATTACTAGGATAACTTAAAATATAATTACATTTAAAAACATGAAATATTAAGGTAAAAATTTAATTATTAAATTGCATAATAATGGAAATATTTTTAAAAATATACATACTAAATTGCAAAATAAAAATATATATTCAGAATATCTGTAAAATCTGATAATTAATAGATGATTTAATGGTTTGGAAAATAATGTGCCAATTATTTACTTACTGAATTTAAACATTACTTTCACTTTCAAATAAATATGTAATATAATATTTTATATATGTATAGAATAAATAATGATAAATAATAGTACTAACTAAATCGTACAACATTAATGAGAAAAGCAAATGAATTTTTTTAATATCAATTCAAAAGAGTGTGATAAATGAAAAATTTTACTGTTAAAACATTATTAATTGTAAAAATAGAATTAAATAGTAATTAAAAATAAATAATTAAAAAGTAATATTAAATATATAGTCAGTAATTAGAATATTCGTATATTATAATCACAGTCCCATTTTTCTTACATATTTACATAAATACTCTCTATTAATCTTCGTTTTTATTTCACCTATTGAAAATTAAAAACTCTAATTTAATTCAATTCTGTTTTTATATATTAAAATATCAAAATTAAATTTAATAATCAGGATTAAAAAATAAACTTCTGAAGAATAAGTCGAATATCATTAGTCTTTGGTAATTAGAATTACAAATTACACGTTCATAATATACTTATGAATAATTTTTGTATAAAATATAACGATTTATTCCTCTTCTTTGAGCACATATGTATCACTTTCAGGAAATTAATTTTTATTACTTACAAAAATATACAAAAATACGTAATTAAAATAGTTTCAACTCCATATAATAGAAAATAATATGGCAATAGTATATACACTTTATCCGCATTATTGGTATATAAATGATATTTTTTATATCTTTTGATAGGGATTATAAATTATATAATAATAATTTTGTGTACATGGTACTTCGTAAATTATTTTACGATTATTTTTAATATTTTAAATTTTAATAATATATTATTTATTAATACTGAAAGTAATACTTATAAAATTAATTAGAATATGTACAATTCAATTTTATATTCTATTGTGAACACATAAATAATTTATAATATTTGTGAATAATTGATATTTGATGAAATTACATTACTTAAAATTATTTTATCGTAATTAATTTTATTAAGCTAATCATTTTATTAATAAACAAGGATTTTTTTAGTATTACAAAATTTTATACGTACTCTTACAAGTGTTAAATGTAAGATTCTAAAGATTTTAATACGTACTCAAGAATTAAATTAAGTTCATTTTTATTAAAAATTATTTATATTATATATAAAAAGCTTTCTAAAATAAGTAAAACTACTCAACCTTTGTTCGTAAACAAAATTCTTACGGAATATATTGACATTCAATAATTTGTAAATGAATTTCGTTTTGTTAAATATATAAATAAAATAAAAATATACATACTAACTATTTATCCTATATTAATACAACATATTTACAGAATAATTAAAACAAATATTTCTTTACGACACTGAACTAATGGCATTATGAGGTGTACCCATACCAGTTAAAACATTATCAAGCCACTTAAGTGGACCATTTAAATGTATTTCAATCCAGCAAGGAGTGGCGGTTACATCTTGACGTTGATACTCAGTTCCCCAGCCTTTTACGAAGGACATTCTATAACAAATTGTAAATATTGCTTTATTTATTATATTAATATTGCTTTATATATTTATATTAATTTTCTTAAAGTAAATTTCTATATATTTGAGAAACTTACTAGTTTATAAAAATAGAAATGCAGGATAATAAATTTAATATAAATTAATAAATATATAATGATAATTACTATTACTCTATATTGTCATTACAATAAAAGAAATATTATAAAATATGATAGATATTAAAAAGTAAGAGAAATTTGAAATCCATTATATATTTATATATACACTTTCTTTAATATCTTATAATACTATAATTTCATAGTGAAGAATAATAATTTACCTGATTGTGCACATTTTAGTGAGTTCGTATACAGACTCAAAACCAAAATGCACGCTTTTTTTTAGTAATTCGCCGAATAATCTGTTATCGAATATTTTAAGCACACAACCGGATGGCATTTTAATAACAGTCGTAGGATGGAATCCAGCCTCGTAATTGCAGTTCCTCGATTGCACGAAGATAGCATGATCTGAATTGCACTCGGCGTACACTTCACCGCCGACGTAATGAAGTTGAAGGCCACGACCGATGTGTCGTCTTGTGTTTTCAATGGTAGAATTTCGATTCACGTTAGATAATTTCCCAAGACAGAATCGTTCAGTGCCATTCGTCGGGTTGGTAAAACCATCAACGGTAATCACGGGTTGTACGCACTGGAAGATTTCACCTACTCGGCTGTTCAACTCATAATAAGCAATGGAAGCCCAATGGCAAGTTTCTTCATAGGCAATTGGTTTCGCATTATGTGGATTTTCGCTGTATATTGACTAAAAAAAGAATGGATGTTTAATATACTATATTGTTATTAATATAATAAACTATAATAATTTAATATATTTAATTGATCTTAAAGATATTCTAAAAAATGTAAATTATTAATCGTATAATATATAAAGCTGTCAATATGTTAAAAAAATAGTTAAGTTTTACATTTAATATATCGTAATGTTCTGTTGTCAAATACTAAATCAAACAACTCTATACATTTACATATTCGATAAATCCGTTTGATTTAGCGCTTGAAACTATTTTTTGTATCCACATTTACGAAATAAGTTTACTCGTATTATATTCTACAATATCAAAGTAGATAAATTGTAAGTAAAGTATGAATTTAAAGTAGACATTATTATCATCAATTATATCAATTCTATTCTAGATAATTTATTAAATGAATTAAAATAATTATAAATTAAGAATATTGCACTTTCATTTTTTTTTTTTTTTTTTTTTTTTTTTTAAAAAATTTTTCTTTTTTTTTAGAACATATTTACTCTTTATTTTATTTGCAGAGTGAATTAATTTTATATTGCTTGTAAAAATACTTGTATCGAGCTACTTTGAATATTCTTATATGATAGAAATAGTCTGAAATATGTTTTGTTTTAACGTACCTCCTTAATTTGTGTATTGCTTGTGTTTCCCATGTTTGTCGTAGACTCGGGTGAATATAGTTGATGGCCGTACGGTGATGCTTGAGAAAAATTGCTCGAGCTGTATGACTCGTACGAATTTTGTGGCGAATTATTACCCAGAGTCTGTTGCCCAGACGCGTACTGCATGGAGATGTTTTGTGGCATCGTTGATTTCAGATTTTGTTGTTGAAAATTCGATGTTGTGCACTGCTGGAATAAGTCTGAGCTTCTTGGTACCATGACAGCCGGTAAGGTGGGCGTTTCTACGCGCCTATAGTGGTATGGGTTGATGCAAACTTCCTCATGTCTCGCAGAAAAGGGGTATTCGCAACAGTCTAGAGGTCTAAGTTCATGATGCGAACGCAAGTCTGACCAGCGCCACAATTTACAATAAATAACGTGAGGTAAGCCCTTGCGATGCGACACTTGAAGTCTGCCGTCCATACTCCTCGGTATGGTTACGCACTTGCTCGTACAACTCTGATTGCTAATAGCACGTTCAAGTTCCTCTAGGGCACCACGTTTCTTCTTTAACTTTTTTACCAGAGATTCTATCGCTTTCTCTGCCCATTTTTCTTCTTCCTCGCTTTGCTTCCAGCCAAGAAGCTTTTTCACGGCAGGATTAGTTGATGAAAAGAGATTGTGAACCGTCGACATTAAACCGGATTTGTACGGTGTTTCATCTATATCCATTCTAACTTCCTGATATAAAAATAATATATATATGTATATATATATATATATATATATATGTGTGTGTGTGTGTGTGTGTGTGCGCGCGCGCGCGCGCGTGTGTATTAAATTACTTTAAGTATATTACGAGAAAGCTACATATATATTTATTCAATTTATAAGTTTTTTTCATATTACAAATTGTTTATGAAATGTACGTTATATTGACAGTTACCAAATTATATACACACGGTATAATGTCATACAAATTATATTATAAATGACGTTCATATTATCAATTAAGAAACACAATTTTAAACAACTAAATAAAATTAAGTTACATATTCATTTTCACAAAAAAAAATTTTAGTGCAGTGCATATATATTAAAAATTATATTGGTTATAACTGCAATAAACAGTAGATATAAACTAACATAACAAATAAGTTGCATAGTTTTTAAAATTAATATAAATAGTACAAACTAATTTCAAATGTACATATTTACCTATATATTTCACTAATATTATTTAACAGTAGCAATCCTTGAAATAACTGTTCATATAAAACAAATTTTGTTTTAATTTCACAAACTAGCACTCCACATCCGCAGGTATCAATACCTACGGTTTTCGATGAGCAACTGAAGCGTTGCTAATTTGAACCTTACAGATTTATTTCCTTCCTTACCAAATTCAGAAAAGTGGTGGGAGAAAGAATCAAATGCTCTCTTTCTTATATGCGTGATTTTATTGTTTTCCCTCTCTAAGTACGTTCCTTTTCCTCGTTTGACCGCAATACTCTGTTATTGTTAGCAGCTGGACATTGAAATAGTACCTGCTACTTTTGAAGCAGGTATGAACAAGCATAGGTAAAAGAAATTTGCTATTCTTTGCATATATTTCAATGGTTCATTTGAATTTACATTTCAATATTTTAATAAAATGTCAGAGCTTTAATTACATTATAAGTTTGATAAAATTACGGTCTATGCAAATAAACGAATTAATTATTCACATTCAATTAAGAAAATAAATAAAATAGTATGAATAGTATATAACTCATTATAACATAATATGAGCAATAATAAAAATATGAAGCATATTTTGGCTTTTAACATTTTGGTACATATGGCTCACTCCTTTTATTTATTAATTTAATTATTTAAAATATTTATTAAGTATTTTTATATATAACAACAAATTATTTATTTTTAAACTTTATTAAATTAATAACTATTAATGAATTAATTTATAATTAATTGCATTTGAATGCAAGTTTTTGTAAAAATAAATAATGCGTTAAACTATTTTTTACTTAATAATTTGTATTATTTTAATTTGAAATACATCACTCCTAATAATTAATCTATTTTTGGATCAATTTTATTACTAATTCTTTTAATAATAGATTTTAAATTTTAACTTACATATTGCAACATATTTAGCTCTTATAATTCTTTAATACCTATCCCAGTCACAATACAATAATACTACAATTGTACAACCTGTAGGGCCTAATGATACCAGCTACTTAAGTTTAAATCCGGATTGGATTAGGTGTTACAAAAAATTATATTTTATACATTGAATTTTACAGGAATAAAACATGTAATATACATATACTAATCGATCAAAATTATATTACAAATGTATCAACATTTTATTTTAATATATTATAAAATAAAGAAAATTCAAAAACACATGTTTATTAACAAAAATATGTAAAATAATTTAAAAACTTTATTGTTAATTGAATTTTAAATAAATATATTAGTTATTTTACAGTTACATTAACAAAATATAATTACTTGAAATTCATTAATTGATTGAAATTTAATAATACTTCTTTTACATTTTATAATAATTTTTTATAAAAAAAATTAAGCTTTTGTTAACTTCTGATTATATTATTTATCATAAGTATAAAATATCGAGTATAAAATATCTAGTCATAATAATCTAGTAGAATCAAATGTAGTATAATTTAACATAATAATAATCTATAACGATATACACGATATATAACGATAAACATCTAGTTAAAATATTATATTAGGATGCATAAGCTAGTAATTATTATCAAACACTGAAATAGAAATTATTTACTAGGTAGTTGTTCTTGCTAATTTTTAATTTAACAATGTTTAATCAATATTAAAATAATTAATAAATTGTTTCTTATCATGCGTGAGAAATGGTTAAAAATGTTAATTAGTTAAAAAAAATGTTTTTGACATGTTTTTACATTATTCTTTTCTCATTCTTACGTAATTTTCATATTAATTGTTATTGTTTATTATTAATGAGATAGTTTTAATAAAACCGTATTATTTATATTACTAAAGTTCTATTAGATTCATTTATTTAATTAAATATTGTATTTAAATAATATCTGAATTAGAAAGTTTCTCTAACTCTTGTTTATCCTTTATATTAATATGATTATTTAATACTGGTAGCGTTTATATTTAAAATTTTAAATACATACTTTGAGTATATTAATAGATACAAATAATTACAAATTTGAAAAGGAAAGTAAAATATTAGAACTAATTATCCAACTATGCATATTACACTTCAAACAATCCTTCAAACTGATTAATAGTCAATAAAAACTATGAAATTATTATTTATTACATTATAATTTTTTCATTATATTGAAATTAATTTTATCCTTATACAATAAATATTATTATACAAATATTATTAAGTAATAAAATATAATTAAATTTGTTTCTAATTTTTTTTAAGTATTAGATGTAAAGTAGAATATAATTTTTATTCTCTTAAATTAATATTTTGAATATAATTATAAATTTTTATAATTTTTATAAATTGTGTATTTTATAAAAATTTTAAATATATCACATTAATATTGAAATCGTATTTTCATTATAATTAATAAATGCATAACAGATTGTTACATAGTTTTATAATGTTATTAAATAAAAAAAAAAACAATTACTTATCTATTATTCAATATTTCCCATATTCAAATTATTTTTTTTAAACTACTTTGGGTTAAGATAATTACTAAATATTAACTACGGCGTAAGATCATAAATAGCACAATGCATATGTTTTCGTAGGTAAATTTTATCGAGACTTCGTCAATTTACTTTTATGGCTAGCCCTATCCTCTGTCAACCACATCTGGATCGAAGCCGCGCATATGCAAAGTCTTAAGGAATTCCGTGTAAAGGATTTACCCATAATTCATACCTTTCGACGGTGTTTCTATTTCTATATATGTGGCTAAACTGTGTGAAAGTCTTCCTGGGTTTATTCGGTATGCTTAAGAATTAGGTAAATAAGTTAATTTTGAAGTAATATGTTAGGTACTAGTCAACTTTTAAACAATACTTCGAACTCTATTGAATAGTGAAGTCAAAGTAAAGTAAATTGCGACAACTTTAATACCTATGAAAAATATATTTAATTGACCTAGTATCTTTTACTACAAAAAGTAATAATATTATTGCCCAATATATTCAATTGTCTCAAATAGGCTAATTATATTTCTCTTTTATATTTATATTTTATACACAATTTTGGCGTCTCAATCTATTGTGCTTAGATATATAAATTATATACAAGAACATTATTCTGATAAAATACTCGAGGTATTATAGATAAAAAGAAATTTAAAAAAATTCTGTATTAATATAAAAAAAAAATATATAAATTTCTGTTATTTTAATTATGGTGCACTTTAAAATATCAACAAGTTCGGACGTTTTATTATAAGTTATTAGTGTCATATATCATATTTAGTTTAAGTTGAAATTAAAACAGTCATTTATTGAAGTAATTGCTTAATGTCCTTTACTGTTTCCTAACACTTGTATAAAATATTGTATATTATATAGAAATTCAATTACAAAATGAAAAATGTATCTACATGTAAGTTAAAAATACATAATATTTATGTAAATATCAATAGTAATAAAATATACGTAACACTTATATAAATGCGATGTGCTTATAATCAAAACGTTATTATAACCATTCTATTATAGTTTTAATAATAATTTAACGTTGCATATAATTAGATATATTATAAAGATTCTCATCAATGTTACAACAATAAAGAGTCTTCGCTTAGTTATTTTATAAAATATGCTATTTAAAATAAATACTTCATACATTTCTAAGTTTTATCATCATATAGACACGTTTTGTTAAATTATGATTGAATAGGTATATATTCAATATTCTTAATTTCCCCGTATTTTTAAATATGATGGTCTACTAAAAATTCTTCGAATTCATGTATGTAATTGTAAATGTTTACCGTTAGTGCATTTACAAGCTGGTGCCTTATTGTCTGTTTACCCATATACCTGTTTTAATACCGTAAGCCGACCTACGTTGTTCATTGAAAAGTCAAAACATCGTAACTTCCTAAAATTGCATACGTTACGTATTTTGGCTTTCGCATAATTTTAATATTTTATATAATTATAATCATTAAAAAATTTTAAAAAATCCAAGCCTATTTTAGTACTCATTAAATGAAATATAATTAATGTTTATTGACGAATTAATGTAAAAGAGAAAATTATAATTTTCCAAAGAAAATATTAATCTTTTATTGCTAATTCTAAAAAGATATAATATGCTTCTTTTCACATATTTCATCATATAAATAATCATGAAATTATTGAAATTGAAATTAATAAATGTTTTCATTATATACACTTTTAATAAGTGTCATTCCAATTATGTTAAAAGCATTAACTAAATTAAAATCATGATTAATAAATCTATAATGTAATTTAAATTAGTAATATAAGTAATATATATGATATATATTTAATTAAATTGTATATAATTATATATATAATTTTTATTATGCTATTCAATGGAATATTTATGCAAAATTGCATAATAATATTTTTACCGTATTAAGGAAATTTTAATTTGGTAACTAAGATTTCTATTAAATTTTGTAAAATATTATTTTCGACTTATAAAATTAAAATTTAAAGAGCTTTTCTTTGTTCCGCATATAAATTATTTGTATGTCTAACGAATAATTGTTTATGACAAATTTGTCATACTAATAATGTGTCATATAAATTAAATAGGAACATATGAGCATTTAATATTGGGATTTTTGAAACACATATGACCGTCATGAATAACAATTTTTTATAATTAATTTTGTCAATATTTTTTACGCAATTTTTAGAATTTATTAGATTTTTTTATTTTAATACATAAGATATTATATCTCAATAAGCATTCCTTATTAAGAAAAATCTTAAATTTATTAAAAAATTTTATTGTTGGATTTAGTTGTATAACTTTATAATATATTTTATTGTTAAGAGTTTAAAATATGAATGGCTTTATCAAGCAAATTTCAATTGTTTAAACTTATTTATTTACAAATTATTCAATAATAAGTAAGAAAAAATAATTAAATCTTCCTGAAATTTTGAATAGATCTGAATAATATAAAAAAAAATATTTAATGTCATATAACATTTCCCAAAATATATGAAATGACAGAATGAAAAAATTAAATTTTTATTTCCTACTTTTTCTTTTGTTGATGTGATTATGCGTCAATCCATTTCGTTTTAATCACATTTAAAGTTTCTAAATGCATTAT